TGTAATAGGATACTAAAGGCGACGGAAATTGCTCGCACTCGTTATTTGACGTATACGTATAAAGCGTACAAAGAGAAATTACAGTGCGACAAAAATTATCACTATTTCTATAATATGCCAAGTGTACTATGAGCAACCGTCCAACATTTCATTTCACAATATTATCTTTTATTGCATATTTTTATTACATTTTATTATTGTGTGTCTCCACCGCTAGCCCTATTGCCATACTGATGGCTCTACTGCACAGGTAATTCATTATGCACAATTATTTGTCTAACACGTTAACACGTTTGTCGGTAATGCACGGTAATATTCACATTGTGATTATGATCGTATTTAAGATGTGTTCATTACCTTTGGATAAAGACGTTTGGAAAAATCGCGATTATGTTTTTATTTGTAATTGCGTAAATATGACGATATATACTTTCGCGTATCTGCGTTCAGTTATATGTACAATTATCTCTTCTCTTCTCTCTCTCTCTCTCTCTCTCTCTCTCTCTCTCTTTCTCTCTCTGTTTGTGTGTCTGTTTACAGATTACAAAATTGATGGTACAATTAGAAAGATAGTGATTCCTTATGAAAAAATATAAAAATATATGTTAAGAAAAAGCAGGAGAATCGTATTTGGAGAATCGTATCGCAAAAACGAAATACAAATTATGGTTTGAAGCTCTTTACAAGAAATTTTTATAAAATTTTTATTTAATAGATAAAATTATATAAACTTTAATATCTTCTTTCTTTTAATATCTTCTATCGTCGACTATAGTCAATATACGAGCTAAAGTGAATGCTTGGCAGCCGTCGACTATAGCCGCAGGATTTTCGGAAAGATTTTTGCCGTGTGAAAAATAGGTGAGTCGAAAGGAAATAGGAATGCATTTAATTTTATTCAATGTGTTCCTATATTGATTCTTTTTGGCCCGTCTATTTTTACACGATTAGTCCGAAGCGAAAAGAAAAATAAAATAAAGAGATCGTCCCTGAATGTAAAATTATACAAATTAATTTATCGTCGTAAAGTTTAATGTAATGTTAAAAATGTTTCTTCCAATTATTTTTTCCACTATAAGATCAATAGCTTATAAAAACGAGAACGGGAGCGAGCGAGATAGAGCAATATTTTATGAAGTCGGCTATAAGTTTGGCTACCGGCAACAAATGAGGCTCGAAATTCGCTTGCTTTGAAAAATAAGAGGATGTCTTGCGATTTTATAATCGAGGCAAAAAATGATCTTATAATCGAGAAGCATCGTTAATATACATATTTCTAGATATTTAAGAAAACGTAAATATATATACATTTAACGTAATTATATATACATTTCAAATATTCACTAAGGAATCACTTTTTTTATTTTACCATCATCAAATTTGATATAATTACGATTGATTAAACGCGCCAATATTTAACGCAAGTTAGAATCCGTATCGTTGCATATTTCCATAAATATACATACATGCCTTCGATCGAAATGAAAATTATAAAAATGTACATGAATGTATAGAAATCGGCCGATATCATTACGTAGGAACTTCGACTATCGAATCGGCATTTTCGTAATTCAATTTAATTTCTCGTATCTTTTTCGTTTTATTAATCGACAAAGGAGAAGCTGCGACCTGTTGATCGGAAATCGCTCCACGTGCCACGATTAAAATAATTAGTTTGATTTGCAATTCTGCTGCTGAATATGCAAACATATTGCGTACCGGTGGCGTATTCCCGCCGTTGTCCCGCCGAGAACACGGTTTACATGGTGCGTTTTGCAATTACAGTCAAGGCAAGGGTAGATTCGGCGTCACCAGGAGCTTCATCGCGACCAGAAGCGGACTCCTGCGATGGCACGAGCATCAGCAGAATGACGGAACCACCGAGGAACCGTGAGCCCATTTTTAACGATAAGAATCTCGCTAAATATTACTAAGTACCGCGCATACGTGAAACGGGATTCGCGAATTTTAGATTCGAAAATTTGAGAAAAAAAAAAAAAAAAAACAAGATACTATGCGACTCAATGCCGAATCTTAGCAAAAGTTAATTAAGTGTAGATCGACATTATAACGATTTGTAACGCAGACAATTCGCTGAAAGACATGCGAGGGCCATGGATTCGTCGTGGTACAAACGCGCGGTGGATCAACACTCTATAGAACCGGAAAGCTTCGTCTTCAGCGTGCCATTCGACGCAGGTAAATACATACATTTTTAATGCACATTTACAATATCTTTCTGAGGAAGGTGCAATTGCGAAATGATTTGAAACTACCTGTGTGTTACCTATGCATATTTATTAATTTTATTTCCATGTTATATTTAATTCCAAACGCACGTAAAAAAATCTTTACTAATGAGAATTATACAATAATTAAATACTGACAATATATCAGCAATTTTTGGCGCAGTATCGTATTGTATTGAATCACTTACGTTAAATCCAAAGTATTTAATAAAATCATTGGTTATAGGTGAAATATTAGGAATTATTGAATTAATTAACACATTGAAATAATTACTCAGAACGATATTAGTTAAATCTCTAAGCACTACACTAAGCGCAAGTAATTCAAAATTATTTAAAATAATTACTAATCCGTTAATAAAATTAATCTCTCTGAAGAAGTGTCTTTGATTAATGCTACATTAATTATTCGTTAAATTATTAGCCGATACAGCCGATCCACTCGTTACCGCCACCCATGCAATTTTCATCGGAAAAGGTCACAAAGCTCCAGCGGCGGTGGTGGGTTTGCAATTTCAACACTCATCCTTGGCGACTCATTTCGTGAACATTACTTCGACGGTAAGCAAGCGCATATTTTTTTATGTATGTACATACACGATTATTACGTGCAATATGACGAGTAAACTTCTTTCTTCTTTTAGTGTACCGGTATGACAGGATGTAAAAAAAATTGCGCTTCGGAAGAGCTTGACTGTTATATCCTAGATAACAATGGATTTATTATCATAAGCGAGCGTCACGAGCATACCGGAAAGTTCTTCGGCGAGATAGACGGAACCATAATGGATTCCTTGGTACAGGATAGAATATACAGGTATAAAGTGACTAGTAGATATAAAATATAAAAGGCTTTCTGTGACTTAATTTTTTATGATTTATATTATTAATTATTACATAATTGATATTAAATTCATTTATATCGATTTTATTTAAGATGTAATCAATGTAACAATTAATGCAAATATTACTCGGATGATTCTTTAATTCAAAAACTATGCTAATTACATATTTCTTCACTTCTCTAAAGAAATACGGAGAATTGCTACAAAGCACTATATTTAAATGATCTTTCAGGAAAGTGACTGTTATCGATTATCAAGGAACTTGCAGTCCCCAAGAATCTCATCAGTCATCAGCGCCGCGAAGTCTATCTGATTCCATCATAAAGACAGCGGTGGCATTCGGCAACTTTCTTTGGACGTTAACTTTGAGTCTCAATATTCAAGACTTGTGGCGAACGACATTGGCGTTCGCTAACGACGTGATGGACGGTATTTATAATATATAATATTTAAAAAATCGTCGTTTATTCGCAAAATTTATAATATTCGAAGAATAAAATAAAACACAAAAAATATATCAACATGTGAAAAGAGCTTTTGTGCAGCTAAACTCCGATACTTTTAAAAATGTAAAACTGTTTTCAGAAATTATTTTCGATAATGCGCCAACAATTGATGACGATCTAGTGCGCTTATTAGATTAAAAGGAACGCGTTTACCATTTCCAGACGATCTGGTATTCACCGATGACGAAGAGACCCGTGATTTCGATTCGCTAACGCCTGCTGATTCGACGGAGGAGGTGACATCGGATGAGAACAACATGTACGTAAGATTTCCAGTAATCGCACCGGCGACACCAGCCTCGCCACCGACCACTCGAGCCACTTCTGCTCATTATCCAAGAAAATTGCGCGCCTGCGAGAAGAAGACGGATTTGTATATCCTGCAACCTGAACGGCTCAACACCAGCGGCCAGAGCAATCCTTTAAAAGGGAAACTCACCAATTGCCATGTAACCGGATGCGAAAGGTAACGTGCAATTTTATAGATTAATTAATTCCTTAGCGAAAATAAAAATTCAAACATAAGTCTTAAACAAAAATAAATAAAGAAATATGTAAATTAAATTATATTGATAGGTACATGTTATATATTATTTCTAAAAATATTTCATAAATTTTAACTTATGAAATTTGTATAATGTTATTAATTTTTTTCATAATTTGTTAAACGTTTGTATTAATTTATAATTTACATCCCTTTCCGAAAAATAAGACAAAGGATATAACAAATATACATTTCTTCCTCTCTCTTTTTATTTTTATTCTTTTTTTGCCTCGGTGCAGACCGTTCAGCGTCCAAAAGATCCGTCACACCAATCTAATATTGCTGGTGGTCGACACTCTGTGCCCATGTGGTAGTAAACAGTTGAGTATCGAGCCCATCGAGGCATTGACCGAACCTGGGGCATGTACGGCGAGGAGGGAACGTCTCTATCGACGAAGACCACCGAAATGCATAAACTACCATCCCGAAGAGATGGAGATCAAATTTTGCGGTAGCGCCGGCCGTCTCTTCAACTTCTCATCGTTGAGTCTTACATTTTTCTTATTCATCATTACAGTGCGACTTGCGTGACTTTGTCGGGATTAATTAATCGCGCGTGTACAAAGCGCGCAGGATATGCACACGTACACACGCACACACATACACACGTACACATACACGTGTTCACAAATTACCTTTTTAAAATGGATTTAGCGTTGTCGTTTCGATGGAACAGTTATAAAGAAGAAGAGATAAGGAGAAGAGAAAAGCAGTGTATTAGGTTCGCGGATTATCACTACTTGACAAAGGTGGTGAATATATATATATATACATACATATAAATATATCTGAGTCGGAGA